GATAACTCTTGTATCTCCAGAGCCCCTTCTGCTGGCTGATTGTAGTGGAACAGCCAAAAAAAGATAGAGCAGTGGGTGAGTTAAGTTCTATCAGCCCAGGAATACAGCAATGATACAAGCACAAAGTTAGGCCAAGGTGGGGATAGTCTTAAGCAATTTCCAACAACTCTTGGTGGGAAGGAATTTTGTAATAAGATTTTTTCCATGTAGTTATTAAATGCTGTTAAGTCACTTTCAGCAGCATATGAAAGAGTATGAACTTTGTAAGCCTTAAGCTGAACAACTGTGATTGTTCCCATTTTGCATGAACTGAACATAGGCATGGTGAGGTGATTTTAGGTTCCCCCAAACTTTGTAGAATCCCCATTCATAGGGCTGAACATCTGCATCTCATATAGCTCTTGGAAAACACAGGAGGGGAAAAGAGGGGGAAAGACAGTAAGGAAAAGAGGTCATGGAAGGAAAAATCCACCTTAAATTGCAGGTTGTGTTCCCCTACATCACAGTCAAAGGTTCTTAGAAAACCCAACCTTTCATTTCACATTTATAAAACAACTTTGACAAGAGTGGTTTTCAGTGAGGAAAAAGTGTATGAGCATGTAAACTGGTCAACCCATTCATGGTCTGTCACATGATTTGCATAATATGCATATAATATGTATAATCTGGAAAGCTGCCTGAATGGATTTGGGGAACTAGAATACAGAGAGAGAGAGAGAGAGAGAGAGAGAGAGAGAGAGAGAGGCAGTCAGAGACACACACAGAGAAAGAGACAGACAGAGAGAGAGACAGGAAAGAGAGTTAGGATAGCAGGATTATCATTGAAGATGAAGGAGAGAAAAACCAGAGAGTGAAATAGGAGAAAAGAGAAATGACACTGGGAGAGGGGGGTTCTAAACCAGTACAAGATGAATGGTTATCTGTGTGAAGAAGGGAAAGAAAAGAGGGGGAGCAGAAGGGAAGAGAAAGATCCCTGGGGTGAAGTTGGGACTTACGGGTTTTTAATGCCAGAAAACTTAGGTATGTTCCTTCTACAGATCAGAACACCTACTCTATTTTAGCCACTAGGGGGTGCAGTTGAGTCATTTTTGTTTTAGTCCCAAATTCTTTTTTTGAACCAAAAAATGAATCAAATAATTTTCAATTTGGGGAGAAGGGGAGGCGAACAATATTGAAATAGTATAAATTAAAAATTAGACAGTAGATCCATTCTAAGCAGGCTTAGGGAATAAACAAAGATTGGGGGTGGGGGAATTGCCAGAACAAATTTCGGTAGGTGATTGAATAATATCTGGTGCTCCATCTCACCTGCCGCCATGCTCCTGTGGCTGAGACAGCCATTCCATTGCAGCCCCTGTCATGCAGTGAGGAAATAATTGTGACAGTTGACCACATTTTACTTGTCTTTTTGTGGCATTCGTTTGTACCATAGAAATAATGTATTCCTACTTTATTCAGAAATACTACACTCCTCTAATTATAGCTAATATCCTGGTCTTCTGAGCAGGAGGATAGTCAATGAAATGTCAAGAATGGCAGTTAGAACATTGATCAAGGAAAATACTGGATGAATCTGATCCAAGACTGTCCCTCTGGTGAAATTTTTAACTCTATAGATTGGATCAGGTAGCAGGCAGATTGACACCTAAGGTAGTGCCTACAGAAAGCCCCACTGGTTTCTTATCTGTTCTGGATGAATCTGATCCAAGACTGTCCCTCTGGTGAAATTTTTAACTCTATAGATTGGATCAGGTAGCAGGCAGATTGACACCTAAAGTGACGTATCTCAGACTGAAGCATCTCATTATGATAAATATTGTTCACAGGAAAGGAGCTGTCATGATTCTTAATGGATTCTTCAACATGAATGTCAGAGCAGGCAGGCACTCTGGAGCATCCTAGTGGCTGCTGTCCTTCTTTGGCAAATAGTTCGGTGGGAAAGCATTTGGTGTAACTCTCTCTCTCTGTGTGCTAAGTCCCAATACCTTGTTCAGAACAAGTGCAGCATGGTTTATCCTTGGTCATCTCTCCCACAATGCCTCATGTTGAGGAAGGGCCCCTCAGAATAAAGCCTTTAAAGGGGGGCAGGAGAGCTGTGTTGTCATTTAAATCTCAGGGAACAGGATGCTGTTCACCTGGCAACCATTGCCACCTAGTTTGAGGCCAAGAGAAATGTGTGTTATAGCTTCCTACTTTCACAAAATGACAGTCCAAAAGTTATAGTAAGGTTATATAATCTTATGTTTGCATTAAGGTTTCTTTGGAAAAAAGCATTCAGGCCATACTTTCTAGATTAGGTGTGATTTTCCCCATCATCTGTTTGAAAGCTAAATAACTATGGAAGTGGTAGTTTTGGGCAAGCGGCCACCTCAACCTCAGCTCAGCCGAACTCATGCATAACAATCAGGATGTGCATGAAGAGTGTCTAGATGAACACTGTAAAGGGTTCATCTAGTGAAGTCTGCCAAGCCATGCATCTATATGTGGAACCAGTTACCTCAGGAGTTGGTGAGTGCTCCAACACTGGAGGCATTAAAGAAAAACTTAGATAATCACCTGGCAGATATGCTTTGATTATATTCCTGCATTGAGCAGGGGTTGGACCTGATGGCCTTGTAGGCCCCTTCCAAGTTCATTTTTCTATGATTTTATGATGCTATGTGCTTATTCACACAAAGAAAACTGTTTCCTCACACAGTTAATGGCTTGGAACACACACACACACACACACACACACACAGTTATTAGGTGCAACAAAATCAAAAGGGAAAGGTATATGTTTACAAATATAGAATGCAAATAGTTTTCCAAAAATAGTGTTTTATTTGAAACAACATTCATAACATTGTATTAATAGGTTTTATAAGAAAAAAGAAGAGTGAAAGTGGCTGAATGTTATTGACCTAGTTGGTCTGTATTAAATCAATTCTCAATTTGATAAGATCTACTCTGTCAACAGAAAATCTATGGATTGAAGTCATATAAATAGGATTATTCTATAGTAATGATTTAGGAACAATTAATTACCATAGATTATCAGTGCAGACAATAGTTTTTGTACATCCTAATTAATTCAAACATTACTGAGACAGAAGAAGCCATTAAGTCTAGGGCTCCAAAGGATAAATCCCATTCAAGCAGGATATTCTTATTCTTATAAACAAAGTTAGCTTGTCTCTAAATAGACAGATAGTATGGATACATTGTAAACGCTAGGACATGAAAAATGAAGTACTGTACCTGAAGTTCTGAAACCCTCTATGCAAATTAACCCAGTGTACAAGCCAGAAAAATAAGTTCCTGTGGATTCAAGGAGCTTTATATTCCCTTTGGTTAACTTAGGCTGAGAATATAGAAAACAGTAAACCATATAACAGGGGAATTTGCTTTTTAGAGAAATAAAGCAATACTGAATGTGAACAAGCCCTAAACAGAATCAGATAATCCAGTGCCAAAACACACAAAAGAGAGCTTCACAATTAGAAACAGAGCTAATTTAAGCACTAAAGACATGAGATTATCCTCCAGTGTTGCTTTGTTACCATAGTCTTTTGAGACTGAGGGATGCCTACAGGGTTGCTTTGTGTCTTCTTAAATTGTGTGTTAGCCAGCTTTTGTCTGGTAATTGATCACAGGGAGGAAATGTCACATTCTGCTAAGTCTGTAAACATGGCAGCCTTTTAAGTTGCATGCTATTGGCTCCTAATTGCAAAGCTGCTCTTCTGTTTTGGCCCTCGTATCTGGATCCCAATTTTGTTTTTTGTTTTTTCTGACCAGGTGTTAGGGGGAAAAAACTGGATTTCTCAGCACCTGCTAGCAAAGAACTTTTGCAGTTGGACCAAAGCAAAGGTTTATTGCCTCTTATACTATAGTGTCAAGCATGCTTGGTCCCACTCAGCTATGGTGACTTTGCCAACCTGACGTAGCCGATAGGACCTTGGCCTTTATGTTTTCAGTTTTTTTAAGCCTGCTTAAATGTGGATGCATTTAAAAACAATGTTCTACCTTATACATTTGCTAGAGCTAATGACTTTGTTTCCTTCTACCATGCAAGACAGCTTCAGGGCATTTCTGTTTATGGTTACAATATAAATGGAATCATAGCTGCTTTTCTCCATCTGTATGAAGTGCACTTCTTCAGGTAAAGCTGGTGTTTCTTCTGAGCCCATTGGGCCATCTGGATTGCCATCAGTAATGCAAAAACACCCACTGGGGAGGGGAAAAAAGATTGCTAGTCTCTTGATAGCAACTACAAGATACGTACCAGGACATTTGTTATCTGGCACACAGTCTACATAATGAAGTCGGTAAGATGCACACCACAGTGTATTTATCTTAGCACTGGGGCAGAGATCAGAATTTCTGCAGGAATTACTGCTTTGAAAGATGGGAGGGCACTTGTGGGAGGAGAGCGATGAGAATATGCTGCTTTTCAGAGAGTGCCAGGTGTGCTTTAGAAATCATTGCATCTGCCATTGAACCCAGGAAACTAAATGGTAAACAGAGTTCTCACCCAGCAATGTTTGTGCCTTTCTCCTTCCCTCAATGGGAGAATAAAGGAAGAATTCCAGTGAAGAGATAATATTTGCCCCCTCTTCCTGCCCTTGGATCATATGCAGTGTGCAGCTACATTTCCTTAAATCCAGAAAGGGGAAAGGTACAATCATTTGTCTTTGTTCAGCTGGAAGCTTCAGAGACAAAAAGAGGAGCACGTTTGTCAAAAGGCAATGTTAAATCACATCACACCAAAAGGAGTCTGATCTAAAGATTCGTCTGTTTTCCTTAACCCCCTCCTGGATTAGAAATAACTGTATTCCAGTTTTCATGATCCATTCTGTAATTTTGACAGAGAAGAACAATGTGATGGTTCAGTTTTGTGTCACATCACCCTGCTTCCTTTCTCTTTCTTCAAACGTCAACTCTGATCTGGAGTATACTTGAATTCTTCCTCCTTCCTCCCTAGTGGGTCTCAGAGGTTAACCCCAATATGCTCTACATGCGCTGTTTGGACTTCAGTTCTGGCTCATCACCATCTCTAGTCCTTCTCTAGAGCAGGACTGTGACTTGTCCTAGAAATGTTTTCCACTGGTGGCCAAATTATAGCATTCTTTAGATTACGACAATACTTTTGCTACCTTCACGTGTTTGGGTCAGATATGGTGTTTCTGAAGGTGTGGGTTCACTAAGTTGTGGGTATGGACACAGTTCTCTGCCAGCACTTATAGAGAAAAACTGATGGTTCCACCCTTCTCCAGCTGAATTATACTTCATATATTATCAAAATATTCTCCACTGAAAGTTGAAGACATATCACCACACTTGTCTGAATGGAAAGAAAGTTAAGGTTATACCTGCCCTTCTACATGGTTTATGTGGAGGTGGGATGTTTTCTCTAAATGTCAGGGTGATATGTCCTCCCTGTTCAGATCATGAGCCACATTTACTTATATTCCTTTAATTGTCTCGAGCATATCAAAGGAGGCAACAAAAGAAATTCATTTTTAATGTGGTGGAGGTGAGTTGAGCACAAATCTGCCTTGTACCTGAATGTCTTGGATGAATAAAATCTTCATTTAGACACATAAAATGTCTGTCTGAATTAAGATATTCCATATTTGGTTGCAATCCAGTCACAAATTGCACTAGATTATTAGGCCCATTGAATCAATGGAACGTACCAGACCACCACTGATTCAATAGACCTGCCCTAGTTTTGAATTACTACTGGATTTTAGCTATTGAAGTGTTAGTAAACATAGCTAAAACATCTGTTGACTGATTAGCTGATTAGAGTGGCCAAAAATACCCGAACTAATTGACAGTCTTAACATGTGTAACATTAATTTGAGGGCTTTCAGGGGACCAATGGAAGTTACATCTAAACCATCTTGATTGCGAAAACTTGGTAATGGTGGTGCAGCATTTTTTTTTCAAACTTTGCTCCCATAATAATAATTTGTTGTCTATTCAATGGGTTGTTCTTACCTGGCAGAGTTTGTGTCATCACAGTAAAGCTTATCCACGAACCAATCTGTTGCAAATTAAAAGACGGTCACCACTTTGAGCTATAAATAGCTACCTTGTGTTATGTCTTGCCAGCATTCCTTTTAACAGATCAAACAGGCAGTGGCTGGACTCAAACTCAGTTTTCCAAGTGCCCTTGGCAGGAGTGCCAGATCCCCCATAAGCAATTTTTGGCCAAGCAGCAACATAAGGCAGGTAAAATCGTCCCCAAAGTCCTCCCCATCTGAGAGAACAGATCTGGAAGGAGACTCAGAAAAGAGACATAACAGGATCTGCATAAAAAGGGCACCTTGAGGAAGCTGAAACCTCCATCAGAAGAAATGGGGGCCCAGACCTTCTCACAAAGAAGCCATGTTGTAGCTACATTATGTATCTTTGCTAGAAACACAAATGAATTATAGCTGTAAGCAGGCGATTGAACCCCCTATTTAAAATGTGCTTGTTCTAAAAGCAAACACCTTTTCCAAAATAGTCCCTCTGGGGTTCAGGACTGAGCTCTCAGATCACAGCAGAGCTCATTGTGAGCTCTCTATAGTGCTTATATCAGAACTATTACAAAGCCCAGGTTTAACATTCTGCAAAAAGAGAGTGAGAAGGAAAAACGGGGGGGGGGGAGGAGAGACACATTTTGCAAGACTTTTGCACCTGTGCATCATTTGCTTAGTTTTGCAGATGTAGCAAGAAGGCAAAAAGGAGTACCTCATATGTATAGTTGGGACAGGAAACCAATACAAACAGCCACGTGAAAGGGTTGATTGATGGACTTGGAAAAGACATTTTGCTTCCTTTTGGGAAAAAAAAAGGACAGCATTCAACTGTGACAGTTTGAAGAATTAGATGAGGTTTTAATTATTATAGTTCAGTCATTAGATGATACCTGTTCCGTGATCTTCTATGTTTAATTATCATTCATGGAGAAATTATGCCTGGCAAAACAGTTGCACTCAAGGATCCACTTAGTATTCATGTAAAGCAGCTGATTGGTTGGAACCATGACAACCTTTGACTTGTCATGGTTCCAATGAAGACAATTCTGGGAAGATCATCTGTGGAAGAACTACCAAAGGGTTCTCCTCACTCTCATAGTGCTAGAGTTTTATGAGTTCTCATTGGAAAAGTTTAAATGTTCTTAAAGTTGTCTGGTATAGATGTAGAATGCACAACAGGGAAACATCTTCAACAGATTTCTTGAGTAGAGATGGGCACGAATCCAGATTGTCAGATCATGCTGGATCATCTTACCACCATCGCAGGTGCTACATGATCCCATCCCACCCCCGGCCGGATTCCCCCACTCACTGGCCAGCGTGCGTTCTGCTCTTCCTCCTCTCTGGTCATTTCACCAGTTGCAGCAAGAGTATGGACTTCTGTTCCTCACCTGCTTCAGTAGCTGCTCACTCAGATGAGGAGGCAGGGCAGGGATTGCTGCAGCACTCTGTGAGCAGTTGATGGAGGAGGCAGAGAAGGGAAGTCCATGCTTCTGCGGCAACTGGTGAAATGACTGAATAAGAGGAGGAGCAGAGCATGTGCTGGCTGATGAGTGGGGCAATCCGACTGGGAGGGTGGAAGATACGACCACATGGGACCTGTGGCACCAGTATGATGATCCAGCATGATCCAACTATCTGTATTCATGGCCATCTCTATTCTTGAGAAAAAGAGCTGCAAAGTATTTTAAGCTCTGTTGTGTAAATCTAAACTGCACCATCTAAAATCCAGCCAGATAAGTGGCTGTGAATGATAGCATTATGAGATTTCCCAGAGTGGATTGTAGCATACAGACAGAAATCCCAGGGCAATCTGTATTTGGAGGAGAACGTGCAATTTGGTTCCATGTGGAAACTTTAATGCCTGGCCACCCCTCTCTTCCTTCCTTCCAGCTGATGACAGAACTCAGTGTGAAAGTGCTTGTATATATGTTGTGTACTTATCATTTCATTAGAAGTTAGTACAGGAAATCCACACTGTATGTCTCACCCACTCATACACACAGGCATGCACATGCTCTATTTGCAATCTTTGTACAAATGCAGCCTCTGGCGATATCATAAAAACCTTCCATCTGTAATATCATAAAGGCTTCTCCACAGTCTAACAGTTTGGACCCTGAAATCTAAGGGGATGAGATGGTATTGACTTACACCCTCCAAAAATAATAATCATAATTATGTACCATCAAGTCAATTCTGAGTTATAGTAACTGTTTTCAGGGTTTTCCGGGTAAAGGGTACTCAGAAGTGGTTTGCCATTCCTTTCCTCTGGAATACTACCTTCCAAAATAGTGTACCATCTCAGTATCATTCCAGTTTTCAGGTGTTCCTCTTGAACTACTGCCTTACCTCAGTGGAAGCTAGAGGGGTATGTGTTCTTGCATACCTAGCATATTTTTAGGTCTAACTGCACGTATGTCATAGAGCTTGAAATGTATGTTTTGGCTGGACCACTCTTAAGTTAGAAGTTATCCAGCTTCTGCTTGAAGTTGGAATGGTCTAACTGCACGTATGTCATAGAGCTTGGCTGGACCACTCTTAAGTTAGAAATTATCCAGCTTCTGCTTGAAGTTGGAACGGAAGAAGCCACCACCACTCTAGAGAATTGGTACAACTACTAAACTCCTTTACCATCAAGACATTTTGATATGTGGTATGATACTGCAGTCTGAAATTGAAAAATGTTTTCTGATGCATCAGATACTTGCTAGTGATATGGAAAGAGAACATATACTTTGGTTCACTTTTCTTGGATTTTAACTATTAAAGAAAACCTGCAGAATATTTCCCAAACTTATAGCACTTTTCAAATACTTGAAAGGTTGTCAATCAGAGGAAGGGCAGGATCTGTTCTCGATCCATCCCAGAGTGCAGGATACACAATGATGGGTTCAAGTTACAGGAAACAAGCTGAATATCAAGAAAAAACCTCCTGTTAGAGCAGGATGGCAATGGAACCAATTACCTCGAGAGGTGGTGAGTGCTCCAACACTGGAGGCAATCAAGAGAAATTTAGACAACCACCAGGCAGATACCCTTTGGTTTGACTTGAGCAGATGGTTGGACTTAAATGCCTTTTACACCCCTTCTACATTCATGATTCTATGAGTCTACAATTCTATGAAATATATGATTGGGTATGAGATTTTAACAAATTGTACTGATGAAGTATTGGGACTATTTGGTGAACAAAGTAAGAAGACAGTATCAAGTAATTCTAGCATACAAAAAATTGCAGATTATAAAAATGTATGAAAAGGGAGATACAATTCAACAGACATCTTTCAAAAAGACTTAATCCAATACTGGAATCAATATGTAGACTGAACTTGTTAGGAACCATAGGCATTATGACAACAAATTAAGTCAATATGATATAAATATTTATGAACATAAAGGAATATTAAACTACTACTATTTGTTAGTTTTCTTGGTGCCGTCTGTATGTTGTTTGATTTTATGCTTTATAATGCTCACAAAATGAGGAATTGATTACCAAATGGAATCCCTATATTTAGTTTAAAACATTATTTTGAAAAAATTTAAACACATAAACTTTGCCTGCTTATACTGTAACTTGAATTAATTCCTGCCCTGCCCTTTGAGGCAGCAGAGAATATGTCCTTGCTCTTTTTAACATGTCAGCACTGCAAGTATTTGAAGAGTACCATCACATCCCTTTCAGCAATCTCTTTGCTAGCCTAAACATACCCAGTTCCGTCCTCCTTTCTTTGTAGGACATCTTGTTCTCCATACTGTGAATCATCTCTGTTGCCCTTCTATGATATTCGTTTTCTTTTCCCCCAATAGGTCTACTTTCTTCTTCAGGCATGACACCCAGAAATGCACACAGGACTATAGATGAGGTCTGACCAGAGCACATTAAAGGCTACAATTTCTCTCTCTTGATTTGGAAGCCATCGTCGTAGCCCTAACACTGCCTAAAATTGTGTCCAGCTTATTTTTTGCAGCCACATCCCATGGTTGATTTGCGGTGAGCTGTCAACAACTGTGATCCTAATAGCTTTTTCACATGTACTTTGTCCCCTGTTCTGTAACTAAACATTTGAGTTCTCTTTATACTCTCCATACAAAGTTTCCATCTGTCTCTGTTGACTTCTATTTCCATTCTATCAAGATTACTCTGAATGTCATTCTCAAATGTGTGCTATCAGTTGCAATAGCTACATCCTCTGCAAACTGGCGGACAATTCTTGTACCCTTTCAACTTAATCTGAGTGGGCAACCTCAAAAGACCAGGGGTCCATTTTTTCATACCTCTGTTATCAGCCGCACCAACCCCATTCTGCAAAATCAGACACAAGCAGAAGGTCACTTATTTAAAATGTGAAGGTGTGGTTCTGCCCAACTTTGACTTGCATGTCCTTCTATAAAAAGGGTCAATGTAATGTGACTCTTTTATAGAGTGTTGGAACAGGATGTGAGATAGCTGGATTCAAATGCCCACCTGGCTACAAAAACTCATTGAGTTTCCTTTGGCAAGTCACACTTTCTCACCTGACCTGTCTCATATGCTTAATGTGAGGTTAATGTGGAAAGAAGGACAGCCATGCACACCAATATGTGTAAGCAAGGAAGGAAAGAAGGAACATAGATCAGTTCAGACAATTTTGACACCTATTCATACTTTTCAGAAAACAAAGACAAAGGAACATAGATCAGTTCAGACAATTTTGTTATGACACCTATTCATCCTTTTCAGAAAACAAAGACGTAGTTATGATTAGTTCTGCACCATGTTCTCATACCAGTATGGCTCTAATGAATAGTGAAGTTGAGCACTTTCTGGAAGAAAGAGCCACTATTCTCACTTTATATGAAAGGACCCAGGAAGATCAGAGGCAACATGAGAGAATTCTCACTTCTAAGTCTATCTTCGTGTTAAAAATACTGACCAAGGGCCCTCTGAATCCTGAGGCTGGATCTGCCTTTATTCTCTCTTTTCTGTGCAGGTAATTTATGTCACACAGGCTCATTCTCAGTAGAGGTAAATTAACCAAGACAGAGTGACATTTCTACAAAAGTGCTACTCTAACCAGACAAAATGCTACAGAAAATGTCATCGGTAACCAACTGAAAAATAAAGTACAAACCTGATTGATTTTGATGGACTAAAGCCACATGGATACAATGGCTCCCAGCTTCACATATCTGCAAAATATTTCAAATGTTTTTTGTTAGGTTGCTAGTTTTAGTTTTGTTTTGGAAGACACAATTCTGCAATCATATGTTTAGCTGGTGGGACCCTGTGTGCTGCAGAAGATTAAACCAGCCAATGTAAGTTACATCAATTTTGCTTTTCACATTCATTTATGATCCTCAGACAGCTTTCACACAACAAAAAATAATATTTGATTGGTGTCAGCCTGCTGTAGGTTTACAAATGAGATTGTGGAAGTGATATTTTACAACTGAAAGGGCAAATCAGGTCGTTCACCTTCTTATTTTACTAGTTATACATGGCCAAATTCCAAATTAAGCATCATGCCCCCCAAAGTTCTTCCCTGGCTCAGAATGTAAAGGGAGATCCTATACCTGCAGGTACACATTCACATTGTTTTGTTGGTACAAGTGGAAAAGTGTGTTCAGTGAGAGAACTTAATTATTTTTATTTATTTTCTAGCTTTTACCCCACCCTTCTAGATTCAATGAACTTCCACTGGACAGCTAAGCAAACGGCACAATATTTGAACATGCCCCCTTCCCCCCCTTCCCCATTTTGGTTTGTATTTCACTGTTACCTTTCATTTACATCCTGGGCACCAATCACAATTCATACAATTCTTTTTTAAAAAAATGCAAAAAGCTAATATTTTAACAAACTGTCCTTAAGTCCATAAATGAAGCCTGAGTTTAAAGACCAAGTATAGGAAATGGCCTCAACCACAAGGATCTACATTTTAGATAGTATTCTTTATATACTGTAGTTTATCAACCTCCGTTTAAAACAAAACAAAACAAACAACTTTGTATCAATGATAAACGCTTTCTCTTCGGCCTGTGAACTAAATACAATTAAATGATTTATTATTTCAGTTATAGAGGCAGGGAATCTAGTTTAATTTAATACTTGAGCTCTTTGGAAGGAAGCTTTAATTTCATACAAAGGATCTGTGGGAAAAATAGAGGCTTTCTGGCATGTTCATATGGTTCATATGGCCATATTGTAAAAATTTCAGTTTGTTGCTAACACAGTATTGCCAATCTGGAAATAAGATCAAGCAATGCAGAAGCTGAAACCCAAGAGAAATTCAGATGAGATGCTATTCAGATCATCCTGAAGCAAGGATGTGGTCTCCAAGGTATGTTTGTTGGGTGTAAGACATAGTATGTGAAAGTCACCACTGGGTCTTAATGTTCAAGATCTATAGAAATAGATCTTAGTTGATTCTTCCATTCTGTGTCTTCATAGAAGAACAAAGAATTGTACATATGTTCTCCTGAGATGTCTTGTTCAATTTATGCTCCTAGAATTTAAAAACCTGATTATAACAGAAGTGTGTGCTTCCAGCTTACGTTAAATGCTCCTGCATTTTAAGTTGTGTGCTTACAGTTTTACGTAACTGTAAGAATTTTGGATTTTAAGTATAAGACCGGCAGTTTTCCTACACCTGTAAGATGTTTGGATGTTACAACAACTCTGACATAATTGTATGTTATGGAACCAAGAAAACCAAACAGAAATAAAAGTTACTAAGATACTCAGACGAATGTTTGAAATGTTTGTCAATGATTGTCTCGTATCATCCTGGGATTAAGTCTTTACTGGGATAATGTCAGCTATAACTAACCATAGGCTTCTGTGAGTTACCCTGTAAGTCTGCATCACATTGGCCTGTAAGCAGAATCTTACAGATGCTAAACCTTTTTGGAGTAAATGTCCTAAATTTTGTGAGAACAAACTTGCAAAATTGTATGCACCACCATTTCCGATAGTCATTGTTATATTCCCACTCTTCTATCCATACATACCAGAAATGCAATGGCAGCAAAAGTAACTTGCTTGTTCCCAAATGCTAGAAAACAAAGAAATCATACATTATTCTCATACAGGTTCTAAAATCTGTTATTTTTTTCTACATACAAACTCCATGGGCTTTGTTTTGCTTAGATATGTAATGCCTAGACATTTCTGGAGCTTTCTGTTATGTTCTCTGGAGATGTGAAGATTTGGGTCTCAGATTAGACTTAAGGACAGTTAATTTCTAAATGTTTAACTTCGTAAAATTTTGCTGTAGGTGAGCTCCCTTATTAGGTAGTTTACAAACAGATTTATCAGGTTGACACAGGTTTCCCGAAGCGTATTGTACAACAACTTCATTCCAGACATACTCATGTGGAAAAACCAGGTTCATGTCTTACATGTTGGGCAAATACTGCCAGAAATAATTAGACTTTAGATCATCATAGGTTCAGTGGCCCATTCTGTAATTTCCCTAAACAATGCTCATGGAAGTATGCTACTTTATGATGTAGCATAATTCTTCAGGGCCTCACCAAACTAAACACTGATTCTTTATCTAGAAGTAGTGATCCCTCAAGTGACAAGAAAGTTGTGGTTCTGGACTCATATTAAAAGCAGAAGCTTAGTCTCATTGGAATGATAAGTGAAAAATAAACAATGGCTTTCTTTGCATGTCAAATTCTGGAGAGAGAGAGAGAGAGAGAAGGAAAATTCAGTGCTGCACACTTCAACAAAAATAGGCCTTCCCCTCTGAATTTTTTTAAAATTGCAAACCTATCCATAGTTTGAGAATTCGTTTGCACAAACACACCCATTCCATTCTTTTTTTCTTGGATATCCCATTGGAATTGCTGCACAGCGCTCGTTCTTTGTTCAGAAATGTTCTACTTACACGGAGGAGTGTACTGTGGGTGATTGATGTAGTAAGCAATCCAAGAAGTGAATCCCCAGTAAAAAGCACAACCCTACAATGAAAACAGAAATAATTTGGACACACACTCCCAGAAACTACCACCTTCAAAGTATTTTTTACAATAGGTAAAATATTTTTAAAATGTCTTAGAACTATGTGACTATCCCCATTTCTGAGTAATGCCCACTCTGAACCTGAGCTAACATGATCCAAAGTATTCCAAGGTGCCATAAACTGGTCCCAATATTTTGGAACCACTTCATATGAACTGTGTCTTCCATACAGTGGAAAATGCCAGGAACTGAGAAAGAGAGGACCTGGAGGAGATATGTAGTTTTGTGACTATCTACTTCATTTCAAAGTGAATAATTTTACCAAAGCTCTGCTTTCCAAACACAGTTGTTGTGAATTTTGGAGTCAGCAGAAGGAGTGTACCAGAAACTGTTTTTGTGATTACTCTTCATTGACTAAGGTGAAACTAGGCTTGTAAATAAAATGATACTGAGCTTGTAAATAAAACCTATTGGCATGGTTTGTTCTTCACTGACAGGATTCCTTAGAGCTGCATGTCTGGTTAATCAGACTTGCAAATGAAGTCTATATTTACTTCCCAGTGACCAGTAATAAAACCTAGCAAGCTAAATTGCCACATGAGAAAGGGGGGAAAAGAAATCTGTGTTAGAACAGATTTATTTTGTATTAAGGAAGATCTACTCGTAAATGTAGAGCTGAATGTCTCGCATAGTTTCCTGACTGTGTTAGCAGCACTACTCAAGGTATCTGTGGCTAGTTTGAGGTGCACAACCAGAACTAATTGAAGATGATATGTAGCTGCTGCTTCTCCAGTGGGTGGATGTCTGGCTGACACCAAACTCCCTGACGGGCTTGCAAGATGTCTCTCCATTGCCAGGCCAGACTCTGAAGCATAAGCATGTGGAATTCCACTTAAGAATTCCCCAGATTATGTAAGAATCAAACTTTTCTCTCAGTAGTCCTCCAATACTTGTTGCTTAGCTTAGGGATGACACCAAAGGGAGTATCTGGGAGTAGTCTCTTGCCTTTTTGACCTGTTTGATGAACTGTTTACTTACTCCTGGCGAATTTTCCAGTCCCTATAAGCAGACTTTTGTCCATGCTTTGTTGGAGGGGGAAAAAATCTTGATTCTTCTTTTTGCGCTAATTATCAACTGATTTCTCCTCTTCCTTTTTTTTGTCTAAAGTACTGGAGAGAGTATCCCTTTCTCAACTGGTCCATTATTTACCCTGTCATAATGTCGTCTACCCATTTCAGTCTGGATTCCAAGTGGACATTCAACTGAGATAGCACTCTCTTGAATCTTGAAGGATATCCTGGTGGCCATGGCTCAACATTATTCATCAGCATTGGTGCTTCTTGACTTGTCGTCAGCATTTCATACACTTGACCAAAAGATTCTTTTGGCAAAACTGGCCTCCTTGGGTATCTCTGGAAATATTAGCTCTTGGTTTTCTTCTTATTTGTTAAGTCATTCCCTTTCAATTTTATGGGTACTAAAACTTCTTAATCTTTCCCTCTCATGGTTGGTGCCCAAAGAGCTCAGTATTAAGTCCATTCCTTTTTGTCTCTGCATTCTTCCTTTTGCTGCTTTAATCTCTAGTTTGGTTTTCCATAATCACATTTATGCTGATGATACCCAAGGGTATCAATCTTATCCTGGGTTTAATGATGACATCTGGATTTCCTTAATGACCTGCCTAGTGAGCATCTTGTTATGGATGTTCTTTCCTCATTCGAAGTTGAACATTGATAGGACTGAAGTATTGGTTTTTCATCTGGATCATATTGGCTATCCTTTACTGTTCGTCCTCTTTTTCTCCAGTGTTATTGGGTGATCCCTGTCAGAGAGGCCACAGATCTTGGTGTTTTAATGGATTATCAGATGTCACTTCATTCATTTGTGACAGCCAAGGCACCTCCTGACTCCTGAGATTATGAAACTCCTTATTCATGTCCTGGTTATTTCAAACCTAGATTACTGTAACAGCCTTTTGGAAGGTCTTCCTTCTTCTTCCTTCCATCCTCTTACCCTTGAAAATAGTGTAGTATGATTTTAAATTTATCACATTATTCCCATATTTTCCATCATTGTAGGACACTGCACTGCTGCCTATCAGGGCAAGGACATATTTTTGAATCCTTGTAGCTACCCATCACCCTGGTCATCTCCTTCCCAAATAGTAATCCCAGCTCCCTAAAACCTACCTATATTTTTCTACTACTAGGTAACGAGACACTCATCCTCTCCTGTGGAATGTCCTGAGTTTCAAAGAGGAAAGCTAAGACATCTGTTGCAAACAGACAGACAGGCAGACAATATCAAAAGCATTGGGCTGATTGTAATATTTTCTGACATAATATGGTTTTCCCTGTTGCAGTAGTGAAAATAATGAATGGTGGGCAAGTGGCAAGAGTGATTATCTTTCACAAGCTGCTAACATTCAGCAATTACCGTTCTAACATTTATCCATCTGCTGACACAAACATCACTCTTAGCAGCTGCTCATGTCCCCATCAACCTCGCTATCCCTGACTCACACTCCAAGCCTCCTCCCCCATGGTTTTAAAGGCCATTGCTAAAACTGAAATGCAAATTCGACATATCTGATGCCATGGGTTTAATGAAGGACAATGTTTAGATCATTCATTAGTTATCTTGATGACATCTGTTTCACTTGTTATTTAACACCTCTTGCTACCACTATAATGCAGATCACTCATGCTGACATTCTGGAGAGGCAACTGGTGTCTAATGAGAGTCAAATTGTTGGCAAGACAATCCTATGTAGTAGTTCTGTCCAGCAGACATAACTGTATTTGTTTACCTCTCCTGAGACTATGATGTTATGTGTTGTCAGTATGTCTGCTGCATGATGTTCTGAACGAAGGAGTCTTTAAAAACGAAAGGCAGCAGAGGTTGCTGGTTAATGTTTGACTACAGCTGAGTAAACCCAGGCTTTTATTCAATTGATTAATTTATTTACTGCTACCCCTAACAATTTTTGTCAGCATAGCGAGGGATGAAGGATAATGGGAGCTGTATTCCAACAACTTATGGAGGAACACATTTTAAACTCTTGATAAGCTGCTCTATCACAAGTTTTTCAGGATGGCTCACAACAAATTACCACTTTCTCAGAAGTTTCACAGGATTATCAGGGGCTTCTCAACCACTCTGTCTGTTAGTCTGTTGTATCTCACAGGGTAGGATAAAGCATGAGGATAAAATGGACGGAAGGGTACTATATGCTGCCTTCCTGGAAGGATGGGAGATCAATACAGTAGTAAATTCATGCCTTCTTCCTTTTCTTTCAGGTTTTGCTCCTTCACATCTGTGACTTAATATATTACATATGAAAATCACCTTGATCAGATTCTTCAGTGGTGTGTGCCCTTCCGAAACCTTGTGCACAAAAAAGGTCTCCAGAAGGTGTCTGATGTAGTGTAAACAGTGACAGGCACAGGCCAAACTGCAGAAATGACAAAGGGAGAAAAAAGGATAATATTTCTGCCATCTTAACATTTCAGATACTACAGCCTAGTGACTAAAAGCATTGTCTCGCCTATGAACTCATTAGCTGGCTTTAGGCAAGCCACCTTCTTTGAGAAATGAGTATTAGTATATTGCCGACAAATCTGGTGTAACAAGAATGACTAAGATCTACTAAACATTTTGAATACTGTAACTGAAAATTGAATATAAATTATTATTTAATGAAGTCACTTTAAATGCAGCCAAATAAATTAACTCTAGAGAGTTGAATCTATACAGGGATTTTTTTTCTGTCTCTTCCACAGGTGAAATTGCTTGACTTAGACTGCCATGAAGCAGAATATACAGTGGTACCTCAGCTTACGAACTTAATCCATATTGGAATGGTGTTCGTAAGTCAAAAAGTTTGTAGGTCGAGGCACCATTTCCCATAGGAATGCATTGAAAACCGATTAATGCATTCTGAGGGAAGAACAAAATACCAAAAAAAATATAAAAAAAATAAAAAAAACACTGCAAATCCCTCGCTGGGACTGCAAAAACACAAAACCCAAAAACACGCAAATCCAAAAATAAACATTGGAGCAAGTCCCACACTGGGACTGCAAAAAAAGTCACCAAAAAACACAAAACAACACAGCATAGAAACATAACGCCCCCAGCCCATCCCCACCCTGTAAAAGCCACCCAGAACAGTTTTTAAAAAACAGAAAACACCAGTCCGAAGCCTCCGGGGGGGGCACTGTGATCACCGCTGCCATGACCACTGCCGTGAGGCTTGAGCCTGGCCGGGGTGCTTCAGCCACTCGCCCCCAGCCGTGGTGAAGGCAGCAGTCGCCCAGCGCCAGAAGACTTGAGCTGGCTGGGTTTCAGCTCAAGCCTCCCTGCGCTGGGGGTCTGATCACGGTGGTAAGGGATCCCCAGGAGGTCTCTGATGGTGACAGGGAAGCCCTTGGAGCTTCCCCCGCCACCACATCGGAGACCTCCTGGGGGGGTCTCTTTTCCTAACCGTTGGGGCGAAAGAGCAGCCTCTTTGCCATCAATGTTTGAATGGAATGAAACAAAGGCAAGGGAAATTGAATTTCCTACCCTTTTCCCCTGCCTTTTTTTCATTCATAGGTCGAGGCTCCATTTGCAAGTCGATGCAGATTCGTAAGTCGAAATGTTTGTAGGTAGGGACATTTGTAAGTCAAGGTCCCACTGTACATACTTAAATGTTATGGTATTATATTAGTGCCACCCAAGTAGGGTTACCAGATGTTAAGGTGCTGACTAGAGTCTGAGGGATTTTCTGGGCTTCCTTAAACTTGGAGCCAGGGAGATAGATCTCAAGTCACATGGCACAGCAGAAGCAAAAAGTTTGGTTTCAGTGGCTGATAAAACCACTCCTAAAACATCTCATATATCTTGAAATCCCAGTTAGGATTGCTATAAATCGCTTCAGACTTGATGGCATCTCTCTCTCTCTCTCTCTCTCTCTCTCTCTCTCCACACACACACACACACACACACACACACACACACACACACACACACACACAGAGAGAGACAGACAGAGAGACAGAGAAACAAACAGACAGAGAGAGAAAGAGAGAGAGAGAGAGAGAGAGAGAATGAGAGAGAGAGAGTAATGGGAAGCATTTGTCCTCACATGGACCTGGATCCCCCTTCAGGCTTTGAGAGGTAATATGTGTTTCTCTACATTTTTAACATTATTAAAAATCCATATCTTCCCTCTTTTCTCTTTCAAAAAAAAAGGGGGGGTGCAGCAGCCACTTTAAAAACTTTTGCTTGCATCTGCATGTCTCAAAATAACATGCTGTAAATTTTTTAAAAAATGTATTCATATATCTAAGGGTGATACTTGAGGGAAGGCAAAAAAAGGGGGGGGGGAATGAGTCTCAATCCTTTATATCAATGTGGTTAGCATGAAAAATTCTTTCCCACTGTCCAGCAGGATATGCCCATATTTTCCCATATAAAAAGAAGGCAGGTGGGTTACCCTGCCTGTCCAGCCAGTTAATAAATCTGAGCCACAAGGGGGCAGGGCTTATATAGAGATGTTCAAGACATGTTTTCTACATCTGATAAGATTTTAGCCTAAAAAATTTGATGGTCCATGTTAGCTGCTGCCAGGCCATATCCTGTTCTCTCCTCACACCAGCCTGCAAGGGATGTTAGGTTTCATAATTTCATGATTATATATGTCTTCACTTCTGTCTTAAATGTCTTCAGTCAACGCAATAGAAAAAAACATGTATATATGCTTAGTAAATGTTTTTCACATGTTGCAAATGTAGAGCAGAAACAGACATTCTGGATAGCCTGACACTGGAAATGGAAAATCTCTACATTCTAATTGTGCAAGGCCATTATATGAGAAGCTTCTCACACATCCTAAAGTTAGCAGATTAGTTTGCTTTATTTTGTGATTGTTTATTCTCATGACTTAAGCACAGGATTCATTCAGAGTCAGCTTTCTCAAACACACAAGTCTTCTGAATCACATTTCTAGAAACCAAATGCACTTTCACCTCCAATGACAGGTTGATCATAATGTGTGTTTTCATTTGTACAGTATTTTGAAGATGAAGACCAGGTATTTATGCTGACTGGGTGATACTATATAACTGTAGGAATCTCTCATGATTTGTTCTTTAGTTCATTAAGCCTGAACTGAAAGAACAAATGTCAAATATACCAAAGTCATAATAGTCCTTTATTGTGTTTATATTTATCAGCTACTTTTTGACTCTTTAAAGCAGTGTTTCCCAACCTGAGGGTCATGAAAAAGGTTGGAAATCACTGCTTTAGAGGCTATTTATGAGATGAGAATTTAAAAAATCAAATCATGCTGTATTTCTGTTCTACCACCATGAAAAGCTTCTACTGGCAATGAGGGCATGGAAGACTTGGGGCCTAACTAACCATGCAAAAAAGTGCACTAAAAGGAAGATAGACAGGTGAGGAAAATCACGTTACAATAAGCAGATTTTTTTTCACCACTTGAGGGAGCACCTTGTCTAAAAACATGCATTGCTAAGCACACTGTAACCATATTACATGATGGAGCTTAAATGTCCTGATGTTCTTTATGCCATTGTTTGCAAACAGTATTGAGAGGCAGGCTGAGTATACTTTCTCAGGAAGACCAGCCTCAGTTCTAACTATGTTCACATACCCTGTTCTGTTAGTTTATAATTTTATAGATTAAGATGTCACAGCAAAGGTCTGATACTGCTGCAAGGAGAGAGATCCTATCATCTGCAGATGGTCAGACTATCTTAAAATGTTTGCAGGGGGAGGCTGCATCAGTTCTGTGCCTAGTGACTCTCTCCTCACACATATACACAGAGAGAGAGAGAGAGAGAGAGAGAGAGGAGAGAGGAGAGAGAGAGATGCACACATATTGGCTGAAATTCAGCAATGCAAAGTTATACCACATAAGCCTAACAATGTCAGTAGAAGTGGCTCTATCTTGTTCATTAAAAGTTTCCTATACCCAGCAACCACTATAAACAAGCTTCCTCATGATCCATTTCATCAGGTGGAAACCTTTGAAGAAAGTGGTATGGGGCATGGGATTGCACAAAATTGTGATGGCTGCTCCCGCAAGGTGATGTAACTTTACTGGATTTCAACCATTGTGTAACTCCCAAACAGGGCTTATGCATATGCAATCCAATGCATGGAACCTGCTAACACTAAGCTGATTCATGTAAAAATGTGTGAGAGACAATGGCTGTAAACCTGTTTCTTACTGTAATAAGTCACAGTAGAGTTGGCCCAGTGAATTAGTGGGGAATTTGGTAAATCAGCTTTTCCATAAGATCCATTGATTCAAATCTGCATGCCCTGGTTGGGACTTACATAAGTACTCTAGTGTGAGACATTACACTAAGCAACAGGATAAAGATCATCTCTTTTGTACTCACTGAACTACAGGATGACGTAAACTTCTTGCGGTCTCCTTTGCATCATAAATACTTGAGAGGCGAATGTAAAAGAGCAGGTAGATTAGAAGAGGACCCATATATTCAGTTAGGAAAACCTGAAAGAAGAAGACAGATGTGTTTAAAACATTTAAGTGTCTTTGTAGGATGAGTGGAACAATAGTTATGTTCATAAAGGTAAAGGTTCCCCTTGACAATTTGTCCAGTTGTGTCTGACTGTAGGCGGCAGTGCTCATCTCCATTTCCAACCCATAGAGCTAGCATTTGTCCGCAGACAATCCACTGTGGTCACGTGGCCAGCATAACTAGACACAGAATGACGTTTACCTTCTCACTGAGGTGGTACCTATTTATCTACTCGCATGTTTGCATTTTGCATGCTTTCGAACGGCTAGGTTGGCGGGAGCTAGGCCAAGCGACAGGGGCTCACTCCATTGTGTGGATTCGATCTTATGACTGCAAGCCTTCCAACCTTGTAGCACAGAGGCTTCAGAGGTTTAATCCACAGCGCCACCACACCCCTAGTTATGTTCATAGGAAACCTTAAAATCATCAGAGCCTTTTCAGCAATAGCGAGAATGTAATTTAAATGCTGTCTGGATAGCTCAGTAGTTTACATATCTGGTTGTGGAGCCAGAGGTTGGGAGTTCAGTTCCCCACTCTGTCTCCTGGGAGAAGATCATTCTATGTGGCCTACATATTAAAATTTTCAAATACTTTATATATAATTTAAAGTTACATACTATATACAGTGTCAAATAATATGAAACAAGAGTCCAATAAGGAGTTGTATATTTGAGAATCCATACAATAAAATGAAACTTGCTTTTGTAAGGATTGCTGACAATTTATGCCAAATGCTTAGACTGTGGTATAAAACTATAAGCATGATGGTGATTCAAGAGAAAATTGGATAACCATTCAAATCGACAACCATTCAAGAGAAAATTGAACAACCATCTGTTCAATCTGCTTTGATGCATTGAGCAGGAGGTTGGACCTAATGGCCTTATAGGCCCCTTCCAACTCCATTATTCTATGATTCTATGATGGTGATGATATTAGTTTCACCCTAGCCCACCATAGTTAGCAAAGGGGGTTGAGCAATGAACCTATATATATGCCTGATAGCAGATAGATTGCCAGGACTATCCTACTCATGCTTCACAAAGTGTTTAATAAAAGATTTCTTATTATCTTGAAAAGGCCAACTGACAATCTGGGGGAGTTTCCCATAGAGAGGAATTTTCAGAGCAATGGCCCCACTCCCAAGTGGAACTTGCTCTTTGAGCTCCTCCCACCCGGGCATAGCTCAGGTTTCATCCAGCAGAAAAACTGAGGGCAAAGCTCAAGGGTTACAAAATACAGTGGTGCCTCGCAAGTTGAATTTAATTCGTTCCGCAGTTAATGTTGTCTTGCAAAAAAATTATTTTGCGAAATGCATTTTCCCATAGGAATGCATTGAAATCTAATTAATGTGTTCCTACGGGCAAAAAAAAGTCAGAACAAAGTCAAATTTGGTTTACAAAGGGTTTATTAAGTGCTCTTTAAAGCCATACATATTGTGCAGATGATTTAAAAATTTTCAAAAAACTTTAACTTTTTAAACATCATAGAAAAACATTTAATATCAGCAAACATGAGGCAGGAACCAAAAACGGAAAACATTCTTCTTGCAAAGCATGGCCATAGGAACATTTGTCTTGCGAGTCATCAACCCCATTGCCAAAACCATTTCTCTTGCAAGTTTTTTGTCCTGCGAGGCATTTGTCTTGCGAGGCACCACTGTACCCTTTTTTCCATAGTACCATTAAATTTTTGTGCCACTTCACAATGACAAATATCATTATGATCTTGTTGGAAGATTGCACAGTTTCAAGGTAAACAGCATAATGAGACAACTTCTTGTCCCTTGAGAAATCAGTGGGACAAGGACAGGGTGCAGGTTTGAAGTCTTTGAACAAGGCAATAGAGTTAATGAGTTTAGGCAGAGCTAGTCTTCATGGAATGTTTTGGGTTAACAGCAAGGCTGTGCACAGGTCCTCACAGAGATTCAGAAGGGCCAGAACATATCCCAGTTTGGTCCAAAAAAAAGGAAATAGGAAAGGAAAGAAAAAGTCTAAAGCAATTGGAGCCATATCTAATTCAATTTGTACAAACTGATGCAAATCAGTGAAAGCCTTCGCGAATACATTGATGCAAATCAATTTGTAAATCAGCTTTGCTTCATTCCAGAACTGAATTTGACCATTCCCCTTTGATTCAGACTTCATGCCAAATGGGTTCAATCGGCCTGATTCGGTTAGTAACTTGACAGCTGTCCAAATACAGCACATGGGCTTAGTAATATGAGCATGTGTTTGGGGAAAATGCATTAGCAGAATTTGGCAGTGTCTTGGGAAACTGTGGGTTAGTTAGCCAAACAGCCAAGGTACTATGGTGGCTAGTGTAGGAAAGATTTGAAATGATTTATGACATTGGCTAGCAGAGGAGACTTTTAAAAACTTTTTTTAAAAAATAGAAGCAATGAGAAAAACTGCTGCACTGTACATTTACTAAAACTCAGGACTTCGTTTCCTGAGTGATGAAATTGGAGCATGATGTGTATTACTGATACAAAATGTACTGAATGCTTAGTATGCTTCTGTATGTCATCTATTTATATATGGTACAAAGAGAGAAGGGGCGAATATTTCTTTTAATTTCTCATTCCATCAATACCAAAGGTAATATTCATTTGAGACTATAAGCATCATCTGGCAAGATCTAAAGCAGTGCAATGATTCAGCATTACTGCTTACATGGGAGACACAGCATGCATTCTGATTTGTCTGGGGCATCCTGGTTAAATCAATCGGACTGCCTCATTTTTCATAAGAACAGCTACTTGGTGTAACCAGCAGTGATAACTTTGTTTTCTTCTTTATCGTCTGTGGTGAGTACAAACCACCTCTCCTTGGCAAAACTGGTAAAGTTGGCTCCCCTTTTAACTTTCTTGCATATTCTACTCACTATGGGACCAGCAAGAAGTCACTGGCCAAAGTGTACCTGTGTTGTGGCTAACGATGAGATTGGTAAGGTAAAGGTTCCCCTTGACAATTTTTTTTGTCCAGTCATGTTCGACTCTAGGGGGCGGTGCTCATCCCCGTTTCCAAGCCATAGAGCCAGCGTTTTGTCCGAAGACAATCTTCCGTGGTCACATGGCCAGTGCGACTTAGACACAGAACATTGTTACCTTCCCACCGAGGTGGTCCCTATTTATCTACTTGCATTTGCATGCTTTCGAACCACTAGGTTGGCGGGAGATGAGATTGGTAGCATGTTTAAATTGAGAAATGGAGAACATTGCAATTGATTTTACTAATGTCCACAGAAATTACTATCCATGGAAATTTCCATTGATTCACATGGGCACTAATTTCTGGGGCCATCAGCATGGTGAATCGCAATTGCCTCCATTTCTTAATTTAAACATGCAGTCAACGTCCTTGTTAGTCAGAACTAACTTATGTCACATCGGCCAGTATCACATTGTTAGTCCCAAAGCAAGTGGATACGTTGAATCAGTTCCTGAATTGTAAATTAGTACTTCTGTAAATCCCATTAAGTTAATGCCTCTGCTCTAGTTAGGATTAGCAGTAGGAGATACTTGCCATTGATTTTAGTGAAAGTGTTCTAGGAAGTACTAATACCAGATTTTGCCCGCAACAAAATTAATTTTCACACAGTTTTTTTAATACTCTGAAACTAGAGATTGGGGTGAATTTTTTGTGATTCATCAAGGTTAATGAATCAACAAATACAAGTTTATGAATATCCATTGAACGAGCTGGACTTATTAACTTTGGGAGTGAAGTAACTCCCTGGTGCCCATAAGACTGTGTTGACCTGTTGGACTGGAATGTGTGGCTCATTGCAGGAGCTGGACCTAGTTGGGGACTCGTCTACTACCTGGCCAAAGGGGCTTGGGTCCACAAGGACTTCTTCCATCCCCAGCTTGACAGAACCTGGGTCTGACAAGAACTCTGTTGCACCTGGCTCGTAGGGGCCAATCCTGCTAAGGACTTCTCAGTTATCTGCCCAAGAGGCCCAGGCTCTGCAAGGGCAACATACCCACTACCTATCAAGGCCTGGGTCTGCCAAAACATATTCCTGTTCAGGGTCAAGCCAAAGCCAATTCTGTAAAGGACTTTTTGGCGCAAGTTGTTTTCTCCCTTTCCCTATTTGAATAAAGCTTCTTCATCTGCAGAGACTCACTCTCTCATCATGGAGGGGCAATGGGAGGGTCTCACAACTGGTCATTACCAATAAGCGATTGGTATATAGATATAGATATAAGAATGAGTTGGTCCTCATGTTAGCTAAAGGTAAAGGTAAAGGTTCCCCTTGACATATTCAGTCCAGTCGTGTCCGACTTTAGGGGGTGGCGCACCCCCCGCTTTTCAAGCCATAGAGCCAGCGCCTGTCCGAAGACAGTTTTACATTGTCACGTGGCCAGCATGACTAGGGAACACCGTTTTACCTTCCCACCGAGGTGGTACCTATTTATCTACTTGCATTTACATGCTTTCGAACTGCTAGGTTGGCGAGGAGCTGGGACAAAGCAACGGGAGCTCACTCCGTCACGTGGATTCGATCTTATGACTGCTGGTCTTCTGACCCTGCAGCACAGGCTTCTGCGGTTTAGCCCACAGCGGCACCACATCCCTTTCATGTTAGCTATTACTATTCAATTCTTTATTGTTTCTCTGACACAAAATTTAGCATGCTTATGTGGAGACTATTCTTCTAGATGAAATTCTACTATGTTCCATCACTAATTTCAAAGTTCATTTTTACAAAAAAAAATACAAGGGAAATGATACTGAAACTTTGTCAATATTTATAGAAGTAATATTTGTGTCTGGACTATGCATAGATTACCTGTTTTGATTTATAGGTCCATTTAAAGCTTTTAGATCTATCTTGAGTTGGGCTGAAGTTATTTCTGCCCCATCTAACTCAATTTGTACCCTGGGTTAGATCAATTTGTTAATTTAGACTCCCAACCTCCTACTTACTTGAATTGAAAAACCCAGCTGACCATAATTTTTTTTTC